CACCAGTCATCCTGATTCCGAAAATCCTCATCCAAGAGTTGTGGAAGCTTAAACGAGGATGGGACGAAGCCCTTCCAGGCGAGATTGCGTCACGGTGGGCCACCTTCTACGATGAATTGACCGCGCTCAACTCCCTAACCATCCCTCGATGGTCCGGTTACGGAAGCGACACGCAAAGTGTCCACCTCCACGGATTTTGCGACGCGTCGGAACACGCGTATGCCGCGGTTGTTTACCTCGTTGTGAAAACTCCGTCTGGACCGCGTGTTCAATTACTCCTCGCGAAAACGAAAGTGGCTCCCGTGAAAACTCTCACCATTCCCCGACTCGAGCTGTGCGCGGCAGTATTGCTGGTACGGTGCTTGAAATGTGTTCTTCGATCACTCCCGTTTGAGGTCGCGTCCGTTCACTGTTGGAGCGACTCCACCATAGTCCTGAGCTGGCTTCAAAAAACTCCCTCCACGTTACGAGTTTTTGTCGCGAATCGGATCGCTGCCATTCAAACCGAAATACCCGCCGCAAACTGGCGACATCTTTCGTCCGAGGACAATCCCGCAGATTGTGCGACCCGGGGATTATTTCCTTCGAAAATCGCGACCTTCAAATTGTGGTGGCACGGTCCCTCCTGGCTCACGGCTGAACCTACCGCATGGCCAAGCCAAACTCCCCTTACCAACGCTTGCGACGGCCCTGATCCCGAAATAAAAACCGTTAGAGTGGATCATGTGCAAGTGCAATGGGACTTGTGCACCCGCATCTCCTCGTGGCCGCGCCTTCTACGTATTACCGCGTATATACGACGCTTTGTAACGCGATGCCGATACCCTGACGTGGCAGACACAAAAATTTGTTTGTCGCGAGATGAGGTCGTCGGCGCACAGTTCTTTTGGGTGCGCTCCGCGCAGCGTCCTCGAATACCGCTCATTAAAAGGAGGCCATCCTCTGCCCGCAAATTCACCTCTTCGCAAGCTTGACCCGTTTCTGGATGAGTCCGGTCTCATCAGAGTAGGCGGACGCCTGCGACTTTCTGACCTTCCCTTCTCTGTTCGGCATCCAATAGTACTCCCGCAATGTGATATCGCGAAACTAATTATTTCCCAAATTCATCTCGACACCTTTCATGGCGGAGTCCAGTTAATGCTTCGTGTATTACGAAACCTAGTTCGAAATTGCATACATCGTTGTGTCCGGTGCGTCCGCGAGCGAGCTATCTCCGAAACTCAGTTCATGGCCAACCTTCCAAAATCCCGTATCCGCATATCACGTCCATTTACACACTGTGGTGTTGATTATGCCGGTCCCATTCGAGTTCGACCAGCGTCCGGTCGTGGCCGTACGACGATCAAGACATATATTGCCATCTTCGTGTGCTTCGCGACCCGCGCAATTCATCTTGAATTGGTCCACGACTACTCCGCGAACGCCTTCATCGCCGCGCTCGAACGATTCTGTGCTCGTCGCGGAATTCCAGAATCCCTGTATTCGGACAACGGTACCACGTTTCACGGGGCGGAGCGTGAATTGCGAGAAGCGTTTAAAACCGTTATGACCAGCGATTCTTTTCGAAACCGACTATTAAAAGATTCAATTGATTGGAAGTTCCTTCCTCCGGCAGCTCCGCATTTCGGTGGCTTGTGGGAGGCCGGGGTCAAAAGCGTGAAGCACCACCTAAGAAGGGTGCTGGGCGCCTCCACCCCGACGGTGGAGGAATTCAGTACTTTATTATGTAACATAGAATCATGTTTAAACTCACGACCTCTGGCCCCTCTCAAGGATGACATCGATTCCTTCGATGCCCTCACGCCAGGGCATTTTTTAATCGGCACGGCGTTAAAGAGCATTCCTATGCCTTCCGTATTCGACAAACCCGAAAATCGACTAAACCGATGGACCCTCATGCGGCAAAAGTACGAACAATTTTGGCGACTGTGGTCCCAAGATTACCTCCATACCCTCCAACAACGAACAAAGTGGCGTGAACGTCGTCCAAATCTCCGACCGAACGATCTTGTACTTGTAAAAGAAGCAACGCTTCCTCCTGCCAAATGGCATCTCGGTCGAGTAATTGAATGTTTTCCTGACGGTGAAGGATTAGTGCGAGCCGTGCGAATACGAACGGAGTCAACCACTCTCATTAGACCGATTACGCAATTGTGTAAACTCCCTGTTTCAAATAGCGTGAATGGCGAACCTTGCGACGAGCGCAGCGCGAAACACGACGATCAAAATAAACAAGAATAAGTGTGGTTGTCTCTCTCTTATATTTACCGTCCGGTACCAACCCTCGATTTGCACTCCGAGGTCTGTGAGTGTCACCGATCTGCGATTAATTTTGTAAAAGAAATTCACCCATTGTACCTAAAATTTGCGAAGTTAGCCTGTAAGTGTGTGAGCTGTATGCCTGAGTGATGTATGCCAGTAGGGATGTTCAATTACGCGTTAATCGATATCGTTTTGTTTCTTGTTTTAATTTTTTTTGAATCCCTCCGTGATTCAACGCGGGCGGCATGTTTCGTATTGTAACCGGCGAGCGCAGGCGGCCCTGAATTCACCTCAAGACGAAAACAAACCATTTCGT